AGGGCGAGAAAGGCGACAGACTGCAATGTGAGGATGACTAAGCGCATTAAAATCGACCATGATCTAAAAGAACCTGGAGCAGCGTAACGTAAGTAAAATACCATGACTGAGTACAGCGAGCGAAAGCTAACGGTGAGTGAACGAGCTGCCAGTTTCTTGCTTGGAGTCTGTGAACACGCACGGACACGTGCAAGGACCACTATTTTCAGACAAAAAAGTAGCGAATGATGAACATCTGCGTACACAGACAGGTCCACATATAAACGGATCGGTACACAAGCAAGTGTGGACGAAATCAGCTAGTGCGAGCGCGACTCTGCTTTTCTGGCATTCTGTATGCCGGTATTGTGTTACGAACGTGATCCACTATGTCCGTCATGAATGTGAGCGACCCGTTCATACAGCCATCATGATTAAAACAACAGCTAGGGTTACCGGGACAAAGTTAAAATATCAGTTGGGTAGCCAACATGCTCCATTATCTTATGATCAAGTAGGAATGAGAACATTTCTATGAAGAAACGGACGACGATAGTCAAGTAGAAGAAGGACATAAATACAATGATCTGGTCCCGTGTTTAAATCCCGCTATAGCAACCCGCCTTTCTCCTATTGCGTGTCTATAAGCGTTCTTTGAATGATTGCAGCCTACTTAATTAGCTGTCATTGGTGTGCTTTAGGGCCTAGGGTTCGAGACTCGAAATTCACCACCAACTTTGGTAGTAAGCAGGTTGGCTACCGCCCGACTTAATACCACGCCTATGCTTGTGGGGCCTTAGGTGGTTCGCCACTCCTAGTCCCGGGGTCGAGGTTGCCCGTTTCTAGAACGGAACAGTAGGTCCTTGTGACTACGGGGTTTAACCTCTCTGTCGTTTATCACACAATGCTACAATAAGACTACCAAAACGAAACTACCTGACGATTGACCGTACCATTCTAAGTATCTCAATGGAACAGATCAGATCATCAAGAAAAACCTGCACCCTGACGTGGAATGATGGTTCGTGATCAGTTACACATGAGGACTTTTACCAAACCAAGAGATCTTATTATGCCTGGAAGGTTAGAGGGTAGGGGTCGGACAAGCCTCATACTCCTGGTCTTTCAGACTCAGGGTTCAACTCGAGTTGGTGTCTCAGTCAGTAAAATTGGGGAACGGGGGGGGGGTGATCAAGCAAAGCAAATAGGCCTCCACTTCAATTCACTTGCTGTCTTGCGGTCAGGACCTTCTCAAAACGTAAGGCTTCGGACAAACACTATAATCATTCTCCTGCTTAGTAGCTGGGCACCCTAGCAGTACCAGTCCATCAAATGCACTGTATAGATAAAAAATTCCGTAGTGCATAGGTCGTCAAGTGGAATAAACAGGACCGGGTTGCCAATTGTATCGAGTGGGGTGGGTAGGGATAAGTGGGATACTCGTCAGACATACCAATCTTTGTTTACTTCGTTGTCTTCCGTATCCAACCCTCTCCGTTCGCCAGTTCTTCCGACCCGTAACACTTTTCCAGACTTGTTTGGTACTCGTCATTGGTCGTTGTCAGAAAATTACTTTAACCATCAACTAAACTGCAGGTTATTAAGCCTCGCCAATCACTGAATCTGGAGATCTTCAATGTGAGGACTCTGATGCAGGTGAATCAACAAGTTTGTCTGATGCATAAAATGGACTCTTTGGGGATCTTTGCCTGCTGCGTATGGAAGACGCGAATCTAGGATTCTGGTGCTATGAGCCACTCAAGTGCGCCGGAGTTGTTCTCGAGGTACATTCTTCGCACATCAGGTGACGACGAAGCTCACTCAGAAGGTCAGAGTGAAGTAGATATTGCACTCAATAATAGGACCGATCAATCAGTTAGATCTACGTTAACCGTCGTTTGTGTGCGATGCGGTTCCAAGGGTCATTTGGTGTCCGGAAGGGAAACAACTCCAAATTAGAAGATTGAGTACATCTGAAGCTTGCCTAGGCGGTCGTTAGGCTATGCGCTATCAACGAACAGATAATGGCGATCGACCTCTGCAGTTCTGCGCAAACTGCCTGTCCAGTACTAACATCCAACGCACCTCTCAACAGACGGCTTCAACTCAGCTGGCACGCTAACTGAAATGGACCACACAGCAGTAAGCTACCGTTGGTGTAGCTCAGCACAAAAGTGCAGGTCCTATGGGATCAGATGACTGAAACTAATTACGAGTTAGCTTTGACGTAGTTCTCTCCCCGAGGTATTCGCCGCTGACAAAGTCAGTAAACTCGGTTAGCACACCATCGATTGTCGGGCCTAGCCGTTCGTGTCCCCTTTTATTCAGAGATAGAGCATCACCTACGCGAGGTGCGGCGTGGTAATCTAGGCGAACAGTGAGTGGGATGAAATTAGACGACCAATGCACTCTGCAGCGAACGTTGTTTGTGGATGTGAGTTTCATGCACGTCCGATACCTGAAGTGTCAGTATCTCAGATGAAGAAAAAACGACAAATCTCGACTGGCTATGACCAAAACAGTAACAGTTAGTAACCTACAGGTAAGCAGGTGTGTTTAGGAATGGATCGAGAGAAAAAACTCGCTTTCGCATAGAATTCAGCTCATTAGGCTTTGCTATTTAGAACACGTTCCGAACACATCTAACGGTCACTACATCACGCCCTATTTGTAGCTGTCGCTCTAAAACGGAGGAAACCACAAGTCAACAGATGGCGTGGGAAGAACGACCCATGAAAAAATGCGTCCAAAAGACTTTATGACTGTTTGGTTGGAGAACCTGATAGACATGGCAACAAATCGACAGTAGTGGCGTTCTAGTTGTCACTTCTCATCAAACCAGAATGCATGAAAAAGTATTCAGGTACAGTTGAATTGGGTGTTCTGTGGATTGACGACAAAGATTCATTTTCTTTCCCCATTCCTGAAAAGAGGCCCAATCCGTCCACTTTTACACATTCACACTTACCTTGTGTGTATTATGAGTTTGGTAGCGATCAGTGAATTTTGCTTCATCGTATTCTGCTGTACAATGATGTGTGCTGGCGTCATCAGAAACATTTTGGCAGACTACCTTCACAATTTTGTGATGAGTATCCGCATAAGGTGCAACCGGACATTTGTACATCTTCCGCATTTTGTCTGCACTGTCTAATCTTGATCAGCACTTGCTGTAGAACAAAACGGCGGCACGCCTTTATTGAGTGACGGGAGATTGTGTCAGTGAATAGTCGGAAGAGAGGGTGCTATCCTTTTTCTTCTGGTTGGCCACGATACCAGGAATTGTTGGCTCGGACCATTACGTAAGAGTGAGCTTTCATAAAACGGCATCCTACTTCTTAGTTGACTGGAGATTTCTAGCCGATTCGGACGCCAAATGGCCACAATCGAAGTTACCCACGTGTTGAGAATTTGTGTCAAACTTGGACTCGCGAAGATGTTGACTAAGATATCCTCTGTTGAAAGGACTATTCATAATTCTCTGCACCGTATTCACAAAAAGCGCCTATCCACTGGCTGAATGACTGTCACGTGACTACGCTTGGAACCATATTATTCATTGTTACTTCAACTCAGCAGTATCTATTCCTGGATTACCAACTGTTCTGCTTCATTTGGCATGTAATTTATCCGAGTCCTCGAGCTGCGTAGAAAAAGTTTGCCATAGGAACACTTCTATAAAGGTAGGACCGAGGCAGCTGTCCAATGAAAGCGTACGATCGACCGTGAATGCAGCCCCACCAACCGGAAATAATTAGGATGGGGTCCAGACTGATTTTTCCGCCGTTCTATAAATGGAAAATTCCCTGCGTTTATAGTACCTAACGAATACAACTAATCTGTAAGATCTCTGTTGTCCAAAAGAAAAATATTTGAAATGAATGATCATTTGATTGTCATGAGTGGACTGTCCGCCGCGTATGAAGTTGGAAAGCGGTCAGGTTTCATCCCGTATTTGTTTCAGTGTTAAAAGACGATGAATGACCATCGTTGATGATTTATCGCATACTCTTGTGTGATGAACAGCAGAAGGAAATCCTAGACCCCGGGTTTTTGTTGCGGCGAAAAAATTAGAACTCCAATAAGAAGGGAATGGTATTGAGCCCAATAACAGTGAATGTCCCTGCCAGCAAAGTTGGGTGACAGTTTGAATTTCAGAGACTAAGGTTCAATGCACGACCGTTACAGTGACCTAAGCTATCACTCATATACGGAAAATTTTCTCAAATGAGGAAACTAGCAAACTGTATTGGATGACTCATTTGCCACGCCAAACATTGTTAAATGATAGGAGTGGAGGGTTTTAGTTGATTAGATGATGAATTCGTCGTGTAAATGGGACGTGAGCTGAAAAGCTGGGAAGCACTGGACAGGTGTTTCAAACTGTTCGGGTCTCATCAGCTCACGCTTCAGTTATACGGCGAATTCATCATCTAAAGGCAAGCATTGTGCTGGTACTCTCATAGAGATACAGGATTTACAAATGGACGATTTGAATAGTCGTAATCAAGGAGAAAAAAGATGAGAATACCCTGAAAGCAAGAATATTTTTATTAAAGTTCGAATCGATTTCCAGTACACTTGATCCACCTATATACCTGAAGGGATCTGGTGCAACTTCAAGGTTAGGCGTCAAAATGAGTCTTCAATTGCGTAAACGTTGACAAAAGTTAGACTCAAATGATACACAGGTGCATTACTGCCAAATCAAGTAGGTAGCAAAACGAACGTGGGATGATTTCTTGTAATCGCAACTCCAGTGGTTGAGATGATATCATACATGTCGATCCACTGATACATATCAACGTGGTGAAGAGGTCTAAAGGGATATAAATAGGTCTCGCTGCTTGCTGCTGAAAAACATCGAACTGTTCTGAGGATTGACTATCTTGTCACAGAAAAAAACATTAACCATTTAGCAAAGAATTTAGTCGGAAGACAAGATAATGTCAAACTTGGCAACGAATAACTCAGGCGTAATTTTTTTTAAATTTCCACCCAAAATGGACCAAACAGCATACCTTCTGTTAGCAATCCTATGCCTGATTGTCGTTTTCCTCTATTTATACAGGAATCCGGACGAGTCGTGAAAGAAAGGGGAGTTTCTGACAGTTGGACAAGATCAGAATGATCGTCATCCATGGTTTCCGGATAAGCACCGTCTTCTTCTACGGACTCCCGCATTTTTTCTTTCTTCCAATGAACTAGCAAACCAGGCGGACCGTGAACCCGACCTTGGTGTATGGTAACATGTGAACTGTCCGCGTCGCTAACCCCACC